CTTCCAGCAACAGAGCTACACCCAAAGTAGCTCAGTGGTGTCATGCTCTATTAACACCCCAAGTTCTGTTGTTAATCAGTACCTAGTTTTATGGCTCAAATCTATACTGGTAGGCTTCATTTCTCTTACTGGGACAGAGAACTGGTGGTCCAGAGAAGTATAAAAAAAATCAAAAATCAAGATGTTCTCACAGCCACAACATCAAGGAATGTTTCAGGGGATCAGTTCCAATTTGAAAAACTCTCGTTCCTGTTGGCAGAAGCAAAAACATCAAAAATGTTTGTTAACTTAACAGCCAACATACTTTGGGCTTCTCACAATATGGCTTTTAAAGAGCACACAGTAGGGTTACAATACTGATAGACCGATATTTAGTAAATACAAGTATATCACGTTTGATGGCGTGTTTATAGGTGAGATCAAGTATTGTTGTGTTTGGGTCAATTGCAGCCCAGAATTTCCTGGTTAACTTCCTTTTCCGGCTCGTAAGTAAAAGAAACAGCAACAACAAAAAAGGATGTTTCTTTGTTGACAGCTACACAAAAATGATCCTGTCAGCACTTGATGTTTATAAAATCCTATAAAAAGATTTCAGAAGCACTAAAATATACCGACCTCCATAAATTCAGGAAGCTTGCGGAACATGTGGGTTGATGCAATGGAGTTTGCATCATCTAGCATATAGGAAATCATGATGCTTGTGATCATCAGTGGCATGAAACAAAGAGACCACTTCTGCTTCCCCCTGCACAGGAGGGCTCAACAGAACTGCTTTGTTGTAATCACTTCTGTCTTTGAAATCACATACATGACGCACGTTGAGCGAGATGGTGTAGGAGGCGCCGCCGCCGCCATTGGCACTAACTTGATTTGCATGACTAGTTATTAGAGGTATTGACTGTACTTAAAAAAACATTCTTACATTGGAGTGATTTCATGTCTTATTCACAATGTCATTTCAAATCTGTGAAAGGTGGAGAGTAATCGTCAGCCTGTCTGTGTTGCCCCATAGCCGTGTTGCAGAAATTCACGCAGACACAGAGGTGTTCAAATCAGAGCAGATCCAGTTAGGTAAGATGCTTTAATCCTGCTTACACTGGGGCTATTCTTCCTCCTGACAACTGCTGATGTTCAGTTGTGCCTCTGTCGGCCCTAAAGAATGCAGTGAATCAGAATTGAGTATCTGTCGGCTGGATCGCTGCATTTGCTCAGTCAGTTGTCGCTTCCTTCACCCTCTGAAGAAACATACAAGTTTCACAGCTCTCATCTTTCCCTTGCGCAACATTCCCCCTAACATATACAGCCAGGGCATGGGGTGGCTAAAGTGTTTTTCTTTTGAAAATAAATTGCTTGTTGCTCAATGGTGTCAGACTGGCGGATGTAGGATGTGTTGCATTTAATCAAAATCCTACGAGACAAAAGATGCAGAAGCTTTTGCGTTCGGATGGTTCGGACCAACTTGTGTGGTTTAAAAAGTTTACCAGCACGGGAAGGAGTTTCAGGTAGGCAGACTGCTTCTTATTCAGCACCTCAGTTGAGAAAACAAACATTCGAATTTGTTCTTTGCTGTCTGGCTTTTATTCAAATTTGCCAGTGTTGAACTTACAGATAGACAAATAGTTCTTACGTCTTGAGTTTCATCTTAATTGGAACTGCCATTTGTTGAAACATAAGCATCTCTCTTTTGTTTTTTTAATGTTGGCCGGTGTGGCTTGTCAGGGTGGTTTGTCACCTCTGATATGCCTTATTGCTTACCGATCACTGATATTGTGTAAATATAAAACGTTGGTCTTCTATATGAGTCAGACCTGTGTAATGTTACACAAGCTGTTATTTTCCATTTGGATCTCATCTGCTGAATTAAAGAAAACATAGAGCTGGTGCTTCTTAGCGTGCCTCTGCTTACAGAGAAAGCGTGACAGCCAGGATGTTTGTGGGTGTCGCCTCGTTTCTCATTATGCATTCACGCCTGTGTAAACATAAGATATGGAAAATAGTCAATTTTCCTGTGAATGGGGGCATAACCTCGCTAGAATTTCATTTGCAAGAAAGAGACCTTGGAGTTGTCGGGTAGGTGTGCCATGTAGCCTCTTGTGCGCTTAGCGTATGATTATATCACTCTAGCTGTGTAACTCTGGTGAGGTTTTCTGTGTAATGGGTGAAATAAGCCCCTCCTCTCCTGAGAGAGAAAATAATACCAGCATTGTAATGATGGGGTTTAATGTGGGCAAAGAGTGCTGCGGTGGTCACTTTTTAGGTAGCTCAGCACGGCTTAATGTGGTAGCGCTTTAAAGACTGGTTTTACCTTGAAGGTGTGCTGACTCAATGATTGTTTTCCAAAGGATGTTTTATTCAAGGGCTGTCATGAATGTGGTCAGCTGTAAAACTAGCAAACATCAGCCATTAAAACGCAAAACAACACAGTGCATCATCACCATGTCTGACTAAAGCATCTGTCTTTCCTTGGAGAAGTGCATATCGCCTTTTAGGGGTGTGTTTTAACAACATAGCAACCTATATGACAATACAGGGAAGACGGTACAATATATCGATGGACTGAAAGCCAGATGATACTTGCAACTTTTGAGGCTGAATTTAATTGGAAAATCCAGTTTTATCACAAGATCCCATTGTTCCGTCAAAACGAAGGCAAGAAAAACTGCTGCCACCTAGCAGTCGTAGTTGGAATTGCATCACACCAAAGGAATAAAGTAAATGATGGTATGTAAACGCTCAATAAAAAAATCAAAACGCAGCTTTCAAATATCGATTCTGTATCATAACATGAAATATCGTGATATTTTAGTGTATCGATGTTTTCCTTACATCCCTATTGCCTTTCATCTTGGAGGTTTTAATTATGGTTATTGTATAAGAGATCATGGGGTCAAATCTTGAAAATGATCTCATGTTTTATCACAAGGTCTGATGCGATTTGGCTATTTCAACCATCCTGAATGTGGCTGACATCAAAAGTTGTAATGATGGATTTGTGAGCATTCCCTTATTGACCAAGTTCTGTGTTTTTTACTTGTTATTTTTAAATCTGAGCACTCCGACTTTCACATGCAGGCCGAACATGATAAATAGTCTTCTACCTCTATTTCCTGCGTTAGTCGCCGATAGAAGAAAGACAGAGAAACGCTCGGAATAGAGATGCCAGTTACACGTCACAGTGGAAAATTAGCAGATTAGAAGGCTGTTGTTGATTTAGCATCCAGGAGAGAGCAGAGTGTGTCTCCGGCATGGTAGAAGCCAAACTGTTAGCATTAGCAACTCCACAACATGGCAGAACTCCTTCAGACTTGTGTTATTTGAGGTGATAAAACATCAATAATGCAAAGCAAACAGTGGAGTGTTGCCAGGCGAGGTGTCTGAACATCTGGAAATAAGACTCCAAACTTGGCTTCTGATCTTCTCTCCTCTGACAAAAAATTACTTCCTGAAGCAGGAGCACCAGAGCTTTTTTCCCCTCACATATTGATTCACAGGGTATTTGTTTGTATTAGAGACCACAGCAATTGTATTGAAGAAATGAGTGAACTTCGTTTTCAGAATCCATCCAGTAATCAGACATTAGGTTTAAAGTTAAACAGAACCAACTCCAATAACAAGTGCTTGACTTAATTTCAGCAGTAAGCAATTACAAGCATGAGTCTAGGTTTCTTTGGAGGTGAATCCAGTGAAACCAGTCCAAAGCTTGTGAGAGTTTGAGACTGGGGCAAGTGGAAGTTAGAGAATTTTTGTCTTTTTATGTATTAGTCATCATGACTGAATGAGTGGTGCTTCACAGTCACTGCTAGCTCCTGTCATGACTAACACCTCAGCGTGTCCAGCACCTTCACTCAAATATAATTCCCCTGTGTTCTATTGACAGTTAGCAGCTCTTATCTGGTCCCAACTGATCTGGGCACAGCCTGCCTCCTAACCCCACAACTCTCTTTTTTTTTTGAGCATGTTCTGGATAAACTGAGACAGCGAGGGGAAAATATTTTCTTGATGCTAGAAAATGGTTGCTTGTTGCTTATAGCAGAAACTGCTTTGCATGCCTGAGTTTATTCTGTAGCAGGTGTAGAAGGGAACTGTTGCCACCTACACATTTTGCAGAAAAAAACTCCCCAAACTGTCTCTCACAAGCAAATAAAATTAAATGAAAAACAGTCAAACATGAGTGGAGTAATACCTGTGAATGCCAGTTGTGTATTAGCTTGACACATCTGATGATGTTCTTTTGTGTTGATGAGGCAAAAATTTATCTTGATTTGAAGCCAACCAGGTGAAAAAATGTTGTTTCTTCCTGTGATTTCACTTCCTCTGGTGAAGTTTTTAGACATCGTGTGTGTGTGTGTGTGTGTGTGTGTGTGTGTGTGTGTGTGTGTGTGTGTGTGTGTGTGTGTGTGTGTGTGTGTGTGTGTGTGTGTGTGTGTGTGTGTGTGTGTGTGTGTGTGTGTGTGTGTGTGTGTGTGTGTGTGTGTGTGTGCGTTTTACAGGGATTTTAGATCAACACTTGAATTTCCGTGTGTGAAATTGAACATTTTCTTAACCTGTGATGACAGAAAGTCTCTCTAGTCTTACCCGTAGTTGTTTGCCTTTCTGCAGGTTGCAACACTTCTACAAAAGTTAAGTCAGATTGTTTATTGTCATGAAGTAAAATAAAGAAAATTCACCAAGCGCCTCAAAAATAGCTGAACTTTTTCCTGCTGTGTCACTCATTAGCTTCATTTCTAAATATCTGATCTAAACTGCAACACAACACAGAAGTTATAGTTGAAAAGTTTTCAATCACAGCTAGAGGAATGAAATAATTGAAAGATTCTTCTTTTAAAAGCAGAAGATGTTTTCTTTTGAATAAACCTGTATTCTCTTCTCTGTTTCTCTGGAGGGCTTAATGGTTTTGGTACACCTTTAACATGAATCCTTCTTGCATTTTAGCTCAGGTGACTGATGTAAACAGTAAGGGCGTAGCCCTCTGACATCACGCTATTGTTTGTCTCCCCCAGGTCTTTGTAGTCTGTCAGTGAAGGTTTCTACTCCCACCTTGTCTTCTGCTGCTTGTGCCTGAGTGAATACTGGATGACTCGGCTCTGCCTCCAGCTTCAGATTCCCCAGCACCTCCAAAAACATCGAAACAAGTTTGAGACTTCAGCCTCCAGAGCCACTGCTGACCTCTGACTGCATGTCTCAAAGCTCCCACAGACCCCTTCCTGTTCCGGCTCCCCCCACGTCTCCTCAAAGACTCATATTTCCACGTAACCATAACCATTACATATTCTGACAGCTGTTGGCCACTCTGTCGCAGGCACAGTTTGTTGTGCTTTTCTTGGTAGACGGTGTGACCGCCGCCCCCTGATTGAAACCCAACTGGTGCTCTTTGAGTGGGGGAAGGAGGGGAAGGAAGGCTGCTGAGCACAGTGCCACTTTCCCCTGAGATGAAGCTGCAGGCCGTCATGGAGAACCTGCACAGGCAGCAAAGGGCCAAGCTAATGATGGAGCAGCAGCTACAGCAGCAATCCATCGCCCAGCGCGCCCAGGTCTGTACAGGTGACGACCCAATGGAGAGCCCTGCCCCTGAGGGGGAGCAGGCCCAAATAGTGGCTCTGGCAGCCATGCGCGCTGCTGCAGCTGGACTGCAGAGGGTCTCAGACAGCCCGATGTCAAAGCGTAGCAGTGGCGGCGAGGAGGAACAGGAAGATGACAACGATGAAGGAGACGAACAGTACAAGGACATGATGGGGTCAGACGAGGAGGAGCAGATGTAAGTTAGGAATTCTTTGGTCAGTCTTTTATCAAAATGTTCTAAATATTTTTTTACGTTTTCTGTTTTTAACGTAAACCCAGTAAGCAGAAATGGGACGAGGGAGACTTTGAAAGTGAGATGGATGAAGACTATGATGACGACCTTCCAGAGGAAGGCCTGTCCACATGTCATGATGCCGTGGCTCCTGGAAAGGGCATTCTTCTGCTTCCTCACCGCCAGCTCCACCCACACCCCCAGATGCTGAAGAGGCGTCTCAGTGTTGAGCAGGAGCCTCGTGTTGCCATCATGCCTCCCCACGCCCCTCACAGTCACCTGGGTGGACAGGATCATGGAGAGTGGACCTATGAGGAGCAGTTCAGACAGGTGGGCTTTCTGTTTCTCTGCTGTGTGAAACTTAAAGCCTCAATAATGTAAAAGGGGGGTAGATTATTTTTCTGCAGATTTGAACTACCTTTGAACCGTAAAAAACTCAAACACCGAGCAGGAAGTATCTGCGGTGTGACTTATCACCTGTCTCTCTTTGTGTCTCTGAAAGGAACTCTCCATTGCTTCGGTGTAACCCGTCAACATTTTTTCAGTTGACGTAAGATGTTGAATCAGCGCCAAGCCTGCCAAAGAGCGATCACTCTGATAGATTTTTCAGCGTAATTAATGAACATTTGCTGACCTCACCTGTGTTATTTTACAGTTTGAACTACGTTGACTGCTTAAAACTGCACCAATATTGACCTTATTCAAACACTACTTGGGATTTGTTTTTTCAGCGTATTGAGTAATTCAGGTACAAAGGCGTATTGTACCTGAAGGTCTTGTTCAATCAAAATCTTGACATGTTTCTGGTGTACAGTAAAGGTGGTTTTGGTGTCATTACCGAAGCGCGTATTCACATAGAAGTTCCTGCAAATTTCAAAAATCCCATTTCTGCGACTACAAAGACGTGCACGAGTTACAACTGCTGCTGACCAGAGGGCCACCCCTCACATTAAACTTGTGTGGCATTTTCTGTGCAGCACAGAATGTAATCTGACCAGGGTGGGAAATGGAACAGCAGTCAAAAGTTGATAAAACCAAAGTTCTGGTTTGCTTTCCAACTTCATGCTAAAAGTTCAGATTTAAACCAATCAGGTTTTATTTCAAGCTGCTCTGTGTCTACACAGATTTAGTTTGAATTATCCTAAAGAATAAAAACAAAACTAGTGCCTTGTAGTGAGGGCTGAAGGAGGGGGATGGGTGAGTTAGAGAGCACTTTAACAGCTTTAACATACTGGAATTTACTGTAAACATGCCAGTGGGCTGAATATTATGAGAGAGGCCCAATAAGGCAGGCTGTTTACATGACCGGACTCAAGACTGTCAGCAGCTACCTCTAAATGGAAGACTGCTGTCAATTAAAGATTAGAAAGGAATTAAAAGCTGATGGTTTACTCACAAGAAAATGCAGTTAAACCTCATGATTAACCAGAAACCTTTTTTAATGTAATTTCAACAAAGCATTTTTAACTCGGTCACACAAAAGAGGCTTTCTTCTGACAATTAGATCGGATTTAATCCAAAGAAGAGTGACCTTTGCATTCACCGATCACTCAATTTATAGATGCACACGTTTTCCAAGCCTACTTCTTTGTTTTTTTATTTAATTTTTCTGTTTCCGTTTCTAAAATGCATCTCTACAAATGTGACTTTACTTCTGCACGTCAGAGAAAATCTAAGCTTGTGTGTATGTGGGCAGCCGATAATGAGCCACCATTTCACACTGTGACTTATTACACAATAAAAGCTGCTATTAAAATGCAAACCATCATGGTCTGTTGCAAAGTCACCGGCCATAGCGCGTTCAGCAGGATGAGAAGCCGTTTGATCTTTTATCCAAACACAATCTGTTTGACAAATAAAAACAAAGCTTTTGTGATTTTCTTTAGATTATTGGTGCCTTTAGTGTGTTGAGGGTAACTTATCTTTGCCATGCTGCCTACTTGCGCCTCATTATCAAGCCTAACTAAAGATTCTGTAATTTAGGGCTCATTTCTCGTAATTACAGAGCGTATAGAATATAGCTCCCCTAAAAGCTGCTTCCTGTTTTTCTACATAGTCCACCACTCCCTCTGTAAATGTTTGTATGAATGCCTTGACACGATACTCTGAGCTGGTTTTTACTCGCAGGATGTTTTTCTCCCAACATGATGATCAGTAGCATTTAATGTAATGTAATGTGATGTTCATTTGACATGGACACAGAAATTACATTGTACAAACCAGATGCAGTGTTTAGTGTGTTAGCACACGTGCTAATTTGCAACACTTGTCCATAGAACCTTTCTAAAAAGTAGAGTAGATTTGAATAAAATACAAAGAGATCAACAATAAATCAAACAGAAAACAGATTAAAATTTCAAACAATTTTCAGTAAAAAAGAAAAAAAAAGGCTATTTGAGCAGCAATGTAAGAGTTTAAAACTATTCATGTAGACATTGTTGTTTAGACTTTAACCATTTTTTGAGTTCTTTGTTAAAAACTTTACTGTCCGTTTCTAGTCTTAGGTCAGTAGGTAGAGAGTTCCAAAGTCTGGCTCCCTTTACAGAAAGAGCAGACTGGCCAAAAGAAGTCTTGCACCGCGGGACGAGACAATCGCCGCAGGTGGAGGCTCGAGTGATCGTTCTATGAGAGCTCTGACGTCTGATGGCCAGAGTAGAGAACAGTCTAGACAAGTTATCATGTAGACAATTGAAAAAGAATCAGAGTGCTAAAATTAATAACATTTTCGAAAGTGAGAAGATTATGTTTCCTTAAAATGTGACAAAGATGCCATTTCAATGGTTTCTGGTCCATAATTTTTATTGCTTGCTTGTATATTAAGACTATAGGTCTTAGAGTGGTGGATGAAGCCTGTGACCATGATCTTTATAACACAGCTGGAGGTTTTGCCATTTGTCAGGAGTAAAACCTTTTGATAGTGCCACTCCAGTAAGCTAATGATGGAGACAAAGACGAGGAAAATACTTTGTCATGTATAGAATCCAAGTCTGTGTCCTGGAGTGTTGAAGCTCTCTGGCTTCAGCTTGTTTAGAATTTCCTGATTCCAGGATTTTAGAATTGCACATTATTCAAAAGGACCAATTTTGCCCTTAGATGATTATAGCAATTAAGTATAATAGCAGCTTTAGTCTGTTAGGACGAGGCCTGACTTCCTCCTGATAATTCTAGCCCCATGCATCAAAACAGCTGATTTTATTTTTATTATAGCATCTTGGCGTTTTTTATTTTGCTTCTTTTTTAGCTTCTGAACCAGAAATGTGTGGTTTCTTGTAATTTGAGGGGTGTGATGGCTAAAATCAGCACACTGCAGGGGCTTATTTGTGCATTTTCAGTGTTTTTTTCTACATACTCTTTGCATTGTGAGTAATATAAAGATTAATAGTCAGTAAAAATAAAAAGTTGCATGCCTAAAGGGATGCATGTGAGTAAATTTAGCACTTAAAAAATCTTTCTAGCAGCTTGAAACTTCAGCAAAAGCCAAAATTAAATTAGATTCCTTGGAATAATGCATGAAGTTGGTAAAACTTTTCAGAGAAATTTTGAGAAACAATGTTTTATACATTCTAGCAGAAACATTTTAGTATAAAACTCAAATTAACTGAAATTTAGCATTTTTTTCATCACGTATAAATCAGCTGAGACAAAAAATGATTTCTCAGGGCTTTGTGAAAACCTAAAAGTCATTTTTTGTCACATTTGTGACAAAGTGATTCTTTTCAAACCAGATTTATGTGGACCAGAAACCAGAGCAGTCACGGTTCTCCCTCTGACGTTCACAGATCCGTTTCTGGGACTGAACGTTAATGATCACATTTCATTGCCTCTCCAGCGTCTTTAAGGGGAATGTCAACAAAAAGCTCTTTGGATTGTTTGAAAACCTTCTGCCTGAAAAGGCAGCTGTGTTTATGACCCTTTTCACTCATATTTAAACTTTTTTTTTCTCAAAAACACTTTGTCTTTATTTTGGTCTGATCTCAATCAATCATTGGTTAGAGAAGAAAATAACTCAATAATTGTGCTTCAACTTTCACCAGAATACCCTATAGCACCTCCTGCATGTGCTCTGTTTGCACTTGTTTGCTGGTTTAGTGCAACTGGGTGGGGAGGAGAGGGTTAAAACGATACAGTTTATTTTGGGCAGGTGGGTGGAGGCTGCAGGAATGTGCCTGATGGAGGGTGATAATGTGGCCACTAGGAACCTCAGATCCTCAGCAGAAACTTTGCATGCCTCTATCAGCGTAGAGCAGTTAGAGTTCTCCCAAACGACAAACTGTCTTCGGCACGACGCCTGCGGCTCACATTCAGCGCGGATCTAACAAAGACTTTAGATCAAACTGAACTAAAACTATAGGATGCATGATTTACTATGTAAAGGACATGTTAAAAAGGCTTTGAATGAGTCTAAAATATGAAATGAAGCAGTAGTGGGTGAAGTGCAGCGTTTAGTAAAGTTTTGCCCCAGGCTCTGTGTGGCAGGGATACACCAGCAAATCCCAACCTGCATTCCTGGTGGATCATCCAGCCACCTTCCTTTACTCTCAGCTAAAATGTCAGACTAAATTAAGCCCGGAGGTGCAGTCTGGTCCATGTCTGATTACGCTGTGGGTTTAAATGAATTAATCCAAACATTCAGGGCCCTCTGCCAGCAGCGTCATATCTGGCTATGGCAGAGAGCAGCAGAATTAAATAAAGGGCGAGGATTTATAGCGATATCAAATTATGACAGCGTTGTTGGATTATTCTGTACATGAAACTGATTTGTGCGTCTGGTGGAAGTGTTTGAGTGATATCAGCATAATATCAGCACAGCCCTGCCTAATATCTCGACTCCCTTCATATATCTGCCCCACGGGACATAAGTATGGGTGTCTGCAATTTCACTTCCTACAAAAACAAATGAGCTGCTCTTAAATTTCAGGAAGCCAACGTATGGCGAATACTTCCAGCGGTTACAAAATGGTTTGCAACCATTTGCTGTAGTCGGCCACTAGTAACAAGCTGGGAATGTTTAGTTTTATAAAACCAATGATTTGAAACCCTTCATTTGTTGGACTATTATCACAAACTCTTCTGATAATGTTTCCACTGGAGACAGAATTTAAAGTTTTGTGATCATTTTTCTCTTTATCTCTGTATTTCTTTAGTTCTAGGTTGATTATTGCATTACCTAGCTCCTCTTTTATAAACACTATCTTCTTCAGGGCTGAAATGATCCAGAGGTCGTGCCGAGCCTTTGAAGTCTCCTTCTGTGTTTCTGTCCGCTTTAAACACCAGCAACTGGACAGATGGAGCCCAGATGGACAGTAAAGTAGGGATGTCTTTAAAAATTC